CGGATGCCTGGCCGTCGTATCGGAGCAGATCAGGAACCGTCTGCTGATCACCGCATTTGGAGCTGCCATTATAGCCATTTTCCAAGTGAGCCTCCACGAAATCCCCTTCAAATCAGTGGAACTTATGAAGAATTATCTGTTACAGAGCCTGGGAATCTTCTGTGCTGTCCACCTGACCATTCTGTTCGGCAAGAACGACAACACCCATCCCATTAATATGAACAGGAAAAAGAAACAGCAGCAGTTCTTGCCCCTAACTATACAAGACAAGAGGCACGACATGCCCTCGCCCATCAATCTATCCCCTTCAGCACCCGGGCAGCGGGTTTTAAAAACTGCTCTGCCCTCGGCCATGCACAAATGACAGACGATTAGCTTTTAAGATTGCAAAAAAAAATTTATGGAAACTCCAAAGAAAAAGTATAAAAAAAATGTTGTAAACTGAGATGGAATGAATATAACTGTGACCCTCAATGTTACGTTATGGTAATTTTAAACAATTTAACGTTCGAGAAAAGAAACAACATTTGAATTTGGATTAACTCTCCAGTAGTTTAATTAAAGCTTAAAAACAATTGGATCTAACTTGTTTGTGGCCACGTGGGGGTCAAGGGTCGAGGGTTAAGCGTTGTGCGTAATATTTGGGGGCACATAGAAGGTGTCGGCTGCCTTGGGCTTCTTCTTCTTGCCGAACCAGCGCTTGGGATAGTATACCTTCTTCTTGTAGATCTGAATGTCGATGTCGTCTCTGTTCTCGAAGAACCAGAGATTCTGGCGCTTCGACTCCAGTTCGCTGAGCGTCTTCTGAATGCTGGCCCTACGCTCCTCCAAGCTTTGGGCTTCCAATTGGTACTGAACGGCACTCTCGAACTTCTTAGCCCATTCCTGATAGGACTCACCGTATTCGGCCAGGAGTTTGGGTTCAAACTTCTGGGCAGTGGATTTAACGCTATTCTCCAGAAGCGTTTGAATGGCATTCGATTTGGTACTCTTCTCGAGGATTTCTTGCAGGGACTTAACCAACTCTTCGGATCCCTCCAACTTCAAGCTCTCAACTACACTTTGGGCAGCCTTTAGAGTTTCCTTGTGGAGAGCAGCTTGGTTCTTGGCCACAAAACTGGAGGCCTCTGCTACCTGACCGGATATGACATAGCCAAGTAGGGCAATGTTCTGCTTCAGCTCTTTCAAGGACCCTTCGCCGGAACCCAATCGAATCATGGCTCGACCCAGTTTCTTTTCCTCGGTGTTTTCGCTGGCATCGTCGGGATAATTGCGAATGAACTTCACACGAACCTTTTCCTGGTAAATAAAAAGTAGAATAAGTTAAAATTGGATTTGCAATGGGCAGTCAAATTTGGCTAAGTAGTATGAACTGGATCATTACATTAGATTACAGTATTTAGGTAAAAGCATTTGAGTGGAATGTATATTTAATTACAACAATTAATGACGAGTTTTAAACAATGCTTTCAAGGACAGAAAACAATTACCGATAAAGGAAACCTTTTTAAAAGAGTAACTTCTATATCTCGATCTCATATTATGAAACATTAGTTAATAAAGCCTCTAAGCTTAATAAAAAATTCAATATCAGATCTACCAAAGATGACTTTCACAACAGTTTATCTTACCACTTCGGCACTTTTGGCAGGAGGTTGAACTTGAGAGGACTCAAAGGGCTTGAAGTCCTTGGTAAAGGACCAAAACGACTGGAGGGCCAGGGACTCGATCAACTCGTTGTTGCATAAGCCCCTGTCCACGAGAATAGTGGCCACCTGGGCCGCTTCCACGGCGGGGCCATTGTTTAGAAGGAAATCCATCAGGAAGCAGCCGGAGAACTGGTCCACGAACAGGCCGTACTTGGTGGGACTGCGCAGCACCGATATCGCCTCCTGGGGATTGGTGGAGTCCAGCAATTGCTTGACCATAACACTGGGCAGTAGGGGCACCAAACTTGCCTCCTTTTGTTTTCTGCAGGAGTTAACCGATTAGTTATGGCTACTGTTGTGATATTATCCAAACCCACCTGAGCTTGAGCAGGCGATCCACCAGGTCCATGGGTCGATTATCCGGATTGACAAACAGATCCAAGTCTATATTTGTTACAGCATGACTGCTACTAGCGGCGAATTTCGCTGGTCCCTCGTTCGCCAACTTGTTGAATTCCGCCGAGAAGTAGGACACCAGTCTTCTGGGTGGAATTGCGCAGGAAAGCCTCGATCGCAACATGGTTAAATCTTATTTTTAATTCATAAAGTGCTATAACCAAGCCGATTAACAAATAACATGCAGCTGGCCGGAGGAACAACAAAATCCCTAGCGCGTTCTCAAAATAATACCGCATATGCCGGTATTTTTATTCTTAAAAACATTAAGGGTGTTTTGTGCATTTTATTTGCTTCTTGTAGCAACGGTGGATGTGGAACACATGGAATTAAATTTAATTTTGGTTTTTGAAAAAACCCCGATGTTCTGGCTGTCACAGAAAATTCTTGTAGCCAAATGTTAAACTTCGGTGTGACATCAACCCTTATTAGCACTTATACCTAGTTTCTTTTTTATCTTCTTTAAATTATAAGTACATTTTTTGTGCTGAAAATCTTAAGTAAACTTAAACTTAAGGACAAGAAATATTTAAAAAAAATTGCTTCCAAAGTCGATGCTTTCTTAACAAATAGTTTTTAACTAGAAACCGTCAAAAAATTGTATGGTGATGGAAATTTGGAAAATAGGTTTTAACGTTCTGAGCGCTTGTAGACGAGGCACTCCGATGAAGTATACTAGCGCTGCGCAGGAAGCCCAAGAATCTGCATGCTAAAGCCTAGTACTCAAATCGACGAAACCGCGAGCTAACCATAGGAGTGAGCGAAAGGCAAATACGTGGCTAATGCTTTTCGTCGGGTCCGTTTTTCAGCGCGGTACTCAGATGACCTATGGAAATACCTGAAAAAATACCAGATTTCGCGAGTGAAGCTTCGATAAACGCCGTTATCCGCGGCCCAAAGAATAAGAAATTTAATCTTTGGAGGTGTTCGTTGAAAGGCGATGTGGAAACTAAAAATTAAAAATGGAAGGAAAACCCCAAAATCGAATGCAGGACATCAGTGTAGATGAAATAGGACGCCAATCCAAGCTTATGCCCTTTATTGTGGGATTTCACCGACAGGAAGCAATTCCACAAAAGGGGCAAATTCGCAGAATAGTTGAAGTGCTGGATGAGATCCACTAAAGAATACCAGTGGGAAGGAACATGCCGAGTGGGACTTCGATCTCTACATGGACATCCTGCCGGGCGCGTCCCCGCAAAGAAAGTAAGATCTGGCCAAAAGAATTTGTTTGCGTTGTACTGATATAAGTATCTTTTTAGCAGAACCACCAGTAATACGGTCTCCGGATGCCACCACCACTTCTTGGCAGCTTAAGCGGAGATTAAGGACCCGCTGGCTTCTATAGGGAGGAAGAAAATAGGGCGCCCGCTAAGGAACAGTTGGAGAAGCCATAGCCAGCCACTGCCAGGATGCTGGGCGACTTCCTGCAGCACCAGCGGATCAACCCCGTTCTCCCACTTCCTCAAGGTCCAATACGCCCATTGGGACTCGGAGCTGGACTGCAATGGCGCGGAAAAGAATGCGAAGCATCCGTGGGACGAGAACGAAACTTTAAGCTACTAATTTACATAAATAAAAACATTCGTTGAACAGTCCATTTATTATACCTGTTACTCGTAGAGTAAAAGGGATACTAGATTCGTCGGAAAGTATGTAACAGGCAGAAGGAAGCGTTTCCGACCCCACAAAGTATATATATTCTTGATCAGGATCACTAGCCGAGTCGATCTAGCCATGTCCGTCTGTCCGTCTGTCTGTCCGTCCGGATGAACGCTGAGATCTCGGAAACTATGGGAGCTAGGGTATTGAAATTTGGCGTGCAGATTCCTGAGCTTCTTACGCAGCGCAAGTTTGTTTCAGCACAGTGCCACGCCCACTCTAACGCCCACAAACCGCCCAAACTGTGGCTCCTACAGTTTTGATGCTAGAATAAAAATTTTAACTGAAATGTATTGGTCTCGTCGATACCTATCGATTGATCCAAAAAAAAATTTGCCACGCCCACTCTAACGCCCATAACACTTAAATCTGTATACCGCCGGTAGGTGGCGCATTTTAATCTCGCTTTGCTGCTTGCATATCTCCATATAGCTGAGTAACGGGTATCTGATAGTCGAGGTACTCGACTATAGCGTTCTTCCTTGTTTTTATTCTAATTTATTTGTGTACCAGCAGACTCCTTTTTAAATTTCTCCAATTGATTTGTTTTCCGTTTGGCAACAAACCCAACTGCTTGACAGTAAGACCATGCTACATGAGTTGCGGGTGAACTTTGAAAACTTCGGTCACACTACAAAGAATAAGATTTTTCCGCTAGTAAAACTCTTAGCCGATCTGAGTACTAGGCTCAAATACCAAAATTCTAGCTCTTATAGTTCCTGAGATCTCAGCGTTTATACGGACAGACGTACAAGGCTGTAAATAGACCCTCAACCAAGGGACGTATATTACGTCATCACATAAAGTAAAAAGATTACCTTTTTACATTTTGTGGTATTGTTTCCTTTCGGTGAAGTCCCACAATAATGGGCCACAGCTTTGATTAGGCGTCCTTTTTTATCTGCACTGACCTTCCTCAGGCGGTTTTGGGGTTTTACTTTCATTTTTAATTTTTAGTTTCCACACCGCCAAAGATGTAATGTCTTATTATTTGGGCCGCGGCTAACGGCATTCGTCGAAATTCACTCTCTAAATCAGGTATTTCATTAACTCATCTGAGTACCTCGCTAAAACAGACGCGACGAACAGCGCTATCCGCATATTTGCCTCTCGCTCACTCCTATGGTTAGCTTGCGGTATTCGTCGATGTGAGTACTAGGCTTAAGAGCGCAAAAATGTTCATTGCATATTAATATTGGCAGCGTTCAGCAGAACAACATGATACCTGATCGAATTCTTACAATAGTTCTGCTCAAGGCACATGATTACTAATCATGGTGCAAAAATTCTTGCATTCTTGCAGACTTTTGAATTGCATAGTGGAGTTTTTCAGGTAAGATGTTTTGCTTTTTGTATGTCTCGATGGAATTGATCGGGGTTATCATTTTATATTAAGGGGTTAATATGACATCTCTTCGGGAGGAATTCATGGCAAATTTCTATTGATGTTCAAAAAATTCCGCTCGAGAGGTATCTGAGTCACCCCAGAGTATACAAAATAAACAAGGAAGAAGGCTATAGTCGAGTGCCTAGACTATCACGTACCCGTTACTCCGCTAAAGGGAGCGCAAAGGCTATGGAGATATGCAAGCGAGACTGCAAGGCGCCATCTAGCGGCGAGAATCATATTTGGTCATGTGGGCGTCATACAGATTTTAGCGTTGGCGTATCAATTTTCTTAATTAAACTTTCGCTGCTTAGTCCTAACTTTCTAGCTTTTTTGGATTTCGTGGTCGCAGCGTTCATACGGACGGACAGACGGACGGACGTGGCTTTACAAACTCTGCTAGTCATACCTTATAGGGTCGGAAACCTTGCTTATACCTGTTACATACTTTCCAACGAATATTAAATACCCTATAAGAATTGGAAATACTTTTTTGAGCTTCGGATTTGGTATTTCACATAAGATAGACAAATTCGTCTGATTAATTAAATTTCAAGAGTATTTTACCCGCAATCTTACCTGTTGCAATTCTATAACTCACTTTGTAACTCAACAAGGGGAAGAATACCGACAATCGACTTATTATACGCCTTAATACCCACTCAACCCACTTTCCGCCCGATAATAGGATAACAATTCGCACTTGAAGGGCGTGTTATGCGGTACTGTAAACAGTGTTCTTTCAACCCCCATTAAGATTATTGTTTTCCTTTTCACGGGATTAGTCCAGCTGAGCCCTCAAAAGCCAGTTGAGCCATATGATATCATTTTCGATTACCAGAAAAAGAGAAATAGTGTTACACAGATCTTATTTATTTAACGCAAATTTGCTCCAAAATAGTTAGTAAAAATAATATCAAAATAATTGTTTTCATCAAAATGTATACTAATATTTACATAGATATTAGTGGATTTTATATTTGATCGTATAAGCATTTCATTTGACGGGCATTTTGAGGCCCCTTGAGAGATGGACCTAAGTATTTGGAGCCGGCTACAGGATTCTTTCGGCTATCCATTTTAATAGACTTGTCTTTCATTATGTAAATGGCATGTCTCTCCTGCTTACGAAATTTTGCTCGTCTGTTTTGGAACCAAACCTGAAATAAAAAGAATGAAAATTTGCACAAATTGTGTTTAGGTTTTAAAATTTGTGAAGCAGATTAATCCCAAAGTGTAATAGATATACAATTTTTGCAAAGATATTCTCGAAAAATTCCTATGTTAGTGTTGGAAAAATGACTGTTTTCAAACATTTTCGAAACATAAAGGGAAGCATGCAAGCACATTCGTTCTTAAATTTTTCAAAAACCATAGACAAGTCTAACCATTTTATTTCGAAAAGTGTATTTCAAACAAATTTATGATGATCTTCAGGGACTTATCAACAAAAGTAGGTTTATTTTTGGACTTTGTATCAAGTGTATCAGGCATGTACATATGAAAAGAAGGAAATTCTTGTTTTTTAAGTTAGAAAGAGATTGTACTATTTTACCAGCTCATACGGGAGTTAAGCTATTCTTCATTAAACATTTGTTTGCTTGCCAATTATTTATGAGCCATATCTTATTTTATTTTTGTATACCTGTACTCGGGCTTCGGTCAAATGTAGTTTTGATGCAATCTCTTCTCTAGTATAGATATCTGGATAATGGGTCTCTAAAAAGATTTTTTCTAGCTCATTCAGTTGGTTTGAAGTAAAAGTGGTACGAATCCGTCTCTGTTTTGATTTATCGGTAAGACTCAATCCGTCGTCTCCATAGGACTTCAAATGGAAATCTAAGGATAGGGGAAAATTGGACATACAGTAAAGATGTTGTAAGAAACACTATTGGTAAGAGATGTATTTTAAACCAAAGACAAAAAAGGATTTATATTTTATGAGAAGATTTTACCCGAGTTATAAGAGGCAATGTTATGAGTTCCGGGATAAAATTCCGAAACTGTGGTGATTTTGGAAAATAGTAAGCTCGATTCCTGGTTTAAAGAACTCCTGATGGCAGTCTCGTTCGCACATAGCTTATAGCTGGAGTCAATCATTAGATTATAGTGATTCATGTGATTGGCCACAGACAGTCCCCCATTGGCACTATTATTATAAAACTCGGAGTTCGCGTTGTATAAACAATCCTTGTCGAAGTTCGCCTTGTTGATAAATGAAAATTCCATCGCATCAGACGATTTATACACACACAGCACTTGATTGAAAATTTTACGGCCCGTTAATGAGTCATCCGGTAATAAAACACATAGTTATAGATAAAGTCTCGCGGAAACACACAATTTTTAACTGCCCTTGAATAAATAAGCTTCGATTACGATTGTATCAACTACAGTTTGTTGGATGTTCATGTTGGGTGAAAAAGGATGCTGCACTTGTCTCGGGAGAAAGGGACGGAAAATTTCATTCGTTTCCGCGTTTGGAGGCGGTGCTAACGAGCTCCACTCGACATAAGGGTGGAAATCGGACTTTCCGGCGCGTGTCAAGCACTGCGGCAAAACATTGTATCCTTTGCCCATTTACTTTTAAAAATCTATCAAAAATGTATTATAAATTTTATATATTTCAGTGATATATCACAGTTTCTTGCCTCATGTCTATCTGTCGCTGCAGAATCCTCTTTAAGCCTGTCCTGTTATTAATATCTAATTATATCCTTGGGCAGTCATCAGAAAACTTTTTTTTAAGTGCACCAATTTTCACAGGCCTCAAAAAGCAACACTCAGAAGATTAAATTGGCTTATCAGCCCACAATGAATTTGGAATGTTCTCTCCTCAAACTCAAAAGGACAAACATCCCTAGGGATATATTAAAACTAGTTGGAATACAAATCCTTAATAAAATAATTACAACAGTGCTGGAAGTTTATAAATAAATTAAAAAAAATAAATAAAAAGCACTCTTTAATCTGACCAAGAACAAAAATAGGAAAGAGTATCCTGGAGTGTACTATCGCTTTCATAGCCACGAAACAATTTGATAAAACAAATGGTGTTGTACCTAACACAATGAATAAGAGACACCTTACTATATTTTCGTGTTCATAATATTAAGCTGATTGAAACATTGTTTAAAAGCACTTGCAGGATGCAACCCTAAATTTCGGAAACAATTATTTGCTTTGCGGATTATTTCGATTAGTTAATTTCAGTAAGCAGAGTCTTAACTAATTTTTATTTACTTTATGCTGAAGTTTATTTTGCTACACCCTAATTCTGAGTGGGAACTGGTATACGATAGAGATTTTCTTTGGTCGTGTTGTTAATCATGTTATTTAAATCTTTTAGGAAAATATAAAATGGTAAATGGAAAAAGTACTGATAATATGAAAAAAAGAAAATGATAAAGATTCTGAAATAGGTACATTTTCTGAAATGAAAAGGATCCTTCGTTTGAATTTTAGGGAAAATCACTTACGCCCACATAGTACACATTTTTTTGGCGATTATTATTCTTCATCTCACGTTCAGAGGTCAGCTCTGTGGGTTCAGACTATTTATAATTGAAAGTTATTTTATTATGTTACCAAACACCATTGAAAACAACAGAAAAAAGCGCTTATCAGCTTTCTCGTATTGTACTCACACATTTGCATGGTACAGTGAAGTCTTTTTTCTTTTCATAATCAACGAGATGGAACGAGAGCCCATGCCTTTAGAAAAATTGCTGTCTTGATGTAGGTAAGTTTGTTTAAGAAACCAACAAGAAACATTTATGTCTAAGTATATTTGATTTAGTCTTCTACACTTGTATAATGCTATTTTTGAAAAGTTATAAAAGCGTATATGGTCTTAATAGCGATAAGGAATATGTTATTTTATTGTTCGTGACTTTGGGATTTTCATTTTAAATAATAAATTTAATTCTGTTGGAATAGCTACATCGAGAGTAGAAGACGCGTATACTCGCATTCACTCTTGCATAGGTTATTATACACAGATAGTAAATAGTAGAAATATACCATTATGGGCTCTTTATTGCTTGTTATTCTTGCAATAGGTTTGTTCCCGACAGGTATATATTAAGTGTTTGGCGATTAAATAATTACATATGGTTTCGGTACAAAATCGATCTCATGCTTAATTTATTTAATTCAGGTGCCCTAAGCATTCCTGAATATGATATGGCTGACCTTAAGCTTGTGTACCTTCGTCGAAATATGGATAAGATGAAACCAACGATTTTGGAATGCGATTATGATGTTGAAGATAATCCCCCGTATCTTGTTGTAAAATGGTTTAAAGATGACGAAGTTGTATTCCAATGGATCCAAGGATATCATCCATTTACCAACGTAAGACAAAATGTGTTAAAGAATTGGATACAATATTAATTTACTTTTATGGCAGCCTAATTTTAAGAACAGTATTGACACTTCCTATGTGAGTTCTGAGGATCCAAATAAAAAGCACAGCGCTTTGGCCCTCATTAATCCTACGATAAGAACGACTGGAAAATACAAGTGCGAGGTTCAGACCGCGTCAAATATATTCTTCAGATACCATAGGATACAGGTTATTGACCTGAGTAACTATTCCTTAGACCTCTTTCACAACAAAATTCCCAACGGAACGCAGCTGGAGTGTGTCCTGAACAACATGTACCCCAGGCCCATTCTGAGGATTCTGTAAGCAATTATCATTTATTCGAGTTACACGTTCTTTATTTGTATACTTACCTTCAGATCTAAAAATGGGGACGTTATTAAAGAGGAGTCTAACGTACTGGAAAACGAGGATGGTTCTTTCAATGCCACTGCCGTTGTGGATGTAAATAAGACCAGAACTAGATCGTATTCGTTTCAGGTTTTCTTTCAGCAAGAAATCCAAAAAGTTTATTCTCTAACATTTAATCAGAACTAAGAAAAGGGTTTTAAATTACGCGATTCTATTTACACATTCGCATGGTAGAGTGAAGGCTTTTTTCTTTTGGTAATCAACCAGTTGGAACAAGTACCTAAGTCTTTATAAAACGAGATAGAAGCCTTATTCGGCAATCCGAAGTTTATATTCCCTTTGCAGATCGTTCTTATGGTTGATAGTACTATTTTTAAAAATGTAAAATTTATTATGTAAAAATTATCAAAGATTAAAATAATTCTTATTATTTTCCCATTATACTACAATAATTTCTATGCGATTTTTATTTATTGAAAAAAAGGATGTTCCGAAAAATAGAAGACAATTTACCAAAATACACCAAAGCTATAACTTTTAATACATTTTTTTTTACTATTTGTTTATGGGAACTTTCAGATATAACTGTCCGATCCGGCTCTTTTCGACTTAATCTCTCAAAATGTTAAGAGAAGTTCAGCCCGATAGCTTTAAAACTTGGTTAGATCGACTCGTCTTGTCATAGTGATACCTTATAGCTAATAGGGTCTGAAAAGTCTCCTTCACTGCGTTGCAAAGTTCTGACTGAAATCATAAGCGCTCTGAAAGGGTATTAAACTACACTTTAGTATATACTTTTTGCCGTTTAACATAGCACAAGTGGATACACTTGAAACTAGACGAAACTTATTGCATATCTTTGAAAGGAAAATAAAATACTACAGCATTTTTAGTTTCACCCATTTGAATAAGGATTAGTTTATGATTATTACTTATACCTACGTATTTCGTTTTTGAATATACTAAATATTTCAATATCACTAGCATTGTACCTAAGAAAACCTTATTCAGCATAATTTATACACGACTGAAGGAATGTAAATGATCGTTATTGCCATGGAGATATTATTATATGTTTGTAACGTTACTACAGCCCTTCCACTTTTTCTGGGGTAAAGAAAAGACAAGAAGGACCTTAAGGACTTTGTTCGACACCCAGTCAGCAATGGCATGTCCTTTAACGGTCAGAAAGTGGACTGTCCCTAATTGTAGGAGTGGGCCAAAGTTAAAGACAAACCGAGCCACCAACTGGTTTTCAAATAGTCAACGGCAGCTAGGAGCAGCGGAGAGTATCGAAGCGGAAAGGTTTTCCAACCCCCACACATGCAGGGCTATTACTGCGCCAGCTGCACACCGATCTCCCCAAAGGCGAACCCAAACCCGAACCCACTAGCACATGTCCATATGAATATTTTTCTCCGAGAGTACAAGTGGCACGGGCTACAATGCTACGTTCCGAAGATCGTGTGCCAGAGAGGAAGTGCCGGCATTATCTCGGCTAAATTCGAATATGTATGGTTACGCTGGGTGGTTTTGGGCAACAGCTCTCGGTTCTCCCGTGGCCAAAGCCATTCAGTTGCTATAGTTATACCATGCAGAGCGGACGATTGAGTTAGGATCGGTTGTGAAAGTCTGATCTTGCGCAGTGATATATATGAGGAAGTGTAAATAGACAGTTATGAATCCCCTACTCATTGTCATTCTTGCAATTGGATTATTTCCGAAAGGTACAACTCAATCCTGTGCCGGTGTAACGAATATTAAGCATTGGCAAACTATTTTTAAATTAAGAAATGAAATCATTTCATCGGGAAAAATAAAGCGAATACAGCGAATGTCCGTCGTACAAACCTTGAGAAAAATAATGACAAATCGGATATCTATAAATACGATCGTATAGCTAAACACTGTTTTCAGTTAACATGTGCACTGCAACGGAATATAAACAACTGGCTACTATGAGATTCGAATATCCTTTTGCTTTTGGATTAATAAAGCCAAAAAGGATATTTAGTGAACTTATTACATGCAGGAAAAAAATATGAAGTGGTTTTTGGCGAGAAAGTATGCATATGTATATACCTTTCAATTAAAAGATTTTTTTTTACAAAAAATATTCCAAATCATTTTCTATTTTTAAAATCAATGTGTAAAACTGAACCTGTCCAGCGAAACTTAATTTATAAAAAACAACTCGACGGATTTTGGCACACATGACAAACTACCAAATGAAAAATGTTAAAATTGTCTTGCTTTGTTTGTTATTAGTTTCTATTTTTAAACAAAATAGGCATCTGTTCACTCGCGTTTTTGCTTTTCGTAAATATAAGCTTTTTCGCCAAAATTAATACAGATATACAGCTATATATTTTGTGTACAAGCGGTGGCAAATGTGTTTTGGATTTGCCTATATTATATTCCAAACAATTCTGAATATTCTGTAATTTTGCGACCTTGTTTTTAAAAAAGCTTTTTAGTTCGAAGTTTAGTTTGAAAAAAGTATTATTGGTTTTCTTTAGATGCGCTATGCCATCCCGTAAAAAAAAGGGCAGAGGATAAAATTATTGTTCTTCAAAATGACGAGATGGAGCCAACAATTTTGGACTGTGATTATGAGGTCGAGGGAAATTCAACGTTTGTCATCGTGAAATGGTACAGAAATAATGATTCCTTATATCAGTGGATTTTTGGGAGTCCCCCATCTGCTATCGTGAGTGGTTTATAAAATATATAGAACTTTGAATAATAATTGTGTTTATTATAGCCCAAGTTTAGTAATGAAATAGACATAACCTATGAGAGTTCCACGGAGCCAAGTAAGCAATACAGCTCTCTGGCACTTATAAACCCCTCGATCAACACAACTGGAAATTACAAGTGCGTGGTTCAGACCAGTTCAAATTCGTACACTATTCTCCAGAGGGTTCAGGTAATAGATGTACGAAACTACACTTTGGAGCTGTCCCACAAGACTATACACAACGAAACCCAGCTGAATTGCACCGTGACGAATGTATATCCCAAGCCGACTATCACGATCATGTAAGGATGTGCCTACCAATCGGTTAAACCATATGTATTCACCCAAGTTATTATCTGCAGTTCAAATGACCAAGATGTCGTTAAGAGGGAGCCAAATCTGTATGAGGACGAGGATGGATACTTCGATGGCAGTGCCATTGTGGCGACGTATGACAGTGATGATGATCCCGACGCCTATCAGTGCGTGGTTTCATTCGATGGATACGATAAGAACTTGACCACTGTGGCCACATCCGCATCGGCGGGAATTAGTCACGTCGATTTCAACCTGTGGCTGTTTTGTTTTCTGTACTACTTCCTCTCCAAGCTGAAGGTGTTAATCTAAATAAAAACGTTGTTATTTATTGTTACTAAAATTATTTTTATTGAATTCTGTTTGCCATTCAACTATCTTTTTTATGCCCCTTCGGCGTAGTTATCCATTTTGTAAATAAATACGACTACTTCGCAAAACCAACTACGTTAGTTAACTCTAAAAGTTGCTTTGAAAATGGGTGCCATCATTTGGGGCTTCTAGATTTTAAATCTACAACCTCCCATGTTGGTTTTGTAGCTATAACATTTGGTAAATGAAATGGGTATGAACTTGAACTCCAATGCAAACTAAAGAAAAAATGGGCTGAATTTCGGAAATGTTGAATATTTCTGTTTATTGATATGTGGGGCTGGAATCCAGCAGCAGATTGGAATAGCCGTTAAGATAGGCTTTGTGCAGCTTGTTGGCGAACTCCTTATCGTTCTGGATAAGGTACGTGAAGGCTTGGACGAATTGCGTCGTGTTGAGGGGCTGCTGGGGCTCCGGGTTGCCGTTGTTGGGCGCATCGAACATGGTAGGCGGCATTAGGGCCGGGCCGGGCTTGTCTCCAGCCAGCAATCTTCGCAAGCACTTGCCGGCATCGTCGTTGGCCATCAAAGCCGACGAAGACGGGGCACCGGTCGGAGATTGTGCCGGAGCGAAGCTCTTGCCGATCTTTAGCTCACTGAGGAGCTGAGTGTTTAGCTGCTGGGCCTTCGGGAAGGGCGACAAGCGGCTATCGTGGTTGTCCCTGCCCGCCGAGGGCAACAGATCCTCGCCAGGTGTGACTGCCCGCTGCTGTTTCTCCAGCTGGTCCACGGAGAGCGGCTGGACGCGATGAAACAGCGACTCTGCTGTGGCCTGCTTGGCCGACTCAAAGAACTTCAGCACATTGCCTGCCGTCACGTTCTCCGTCGACGGCGTCTTCGGCTGGCCGCCGCTTACCTGGGCCTTGTAGTCCTTTTGTGCCTTGCTCAGCATGTTAAATATGCTAGCCGGCTGGTTGTTGTCCTGGGGCGCGGGGGCGTGGCGCTGGACCTGGCCATTGGTTCCGTGGTCCTTGGACTTGAGCAGACCGTTCACCAGGCCACTGATGCGATCGCACTCCTCGCTGTTGTAGAACCAAAAGCCCCGAATGCGGGAGCGCTCGTTGCGGTAGAGCAGGAACGGTGGCTGCGACTGCAGCTCCAGGCTGCCGGTGATCGGCTCCACGAAGGACGTGGTGTTCAGTCGGTTGTTGATGAAGATGCTGTGGAAGGGCTCCGCGTTGCGGTGGTATATGAAGAAGGCTCCCTCGACGTCCGTCTTTTCCCACTCGTTCTGCGCCGAGTTGAAGGTGTAGAAGGCGACGTGCGAGGACGAGTCCACGATCTCCTTGGCGTACGGGTCGATCTTCTTGATGGCCGAGAGGTTCATTCGCGTGATGCTTTCGTCGGCCATTGTATTTGTAGCGTATTTTACCTCCGTGATATTGCGAATTGCAATTATTTGTGAATTCAACAATCCCACTGCTCTTCTGACAAAAAAATTGGATTTTTTTAACGCCACTGCTGTGGTCACACTGGCAGATAGGTATCGATTAGAGCTCCAAAAACATCGATGGTAGCATTTGATGGTTTGAGTTTAATAATATTTATAAGGAAAATAAGTTTAAAAATTGGAAAGGATCCACTGCAACGCACACAAGAATATACTATCGAAACTAAGGACTCGTCGGTGTTTCGCAAAAATAAAAACCTATCAAGTTATCGATAATACTGCAAGTGTATTGACCCATCTCTAAAAACTGGCGGGAACTCTAATAAAATAGCATTGCAATTTATTTTTGTTTGAAAACGCCTCTAATATCAAAATGCAAAAGTCTATAACGTAAATATACGAAAATTGTAGTGCCTTTTAGTCCAGAATCTTACATTCTTTTATTTTAGATCCTTCTTTAAGAAGAAATCCGATGCCACCGACAGCCCCTCGCCGCCAAAAAAAGTTCCCAAGTAAGCTGTGCGAATTTTTGTTTGCTAATTTCTATATATATTTCCTTAATTACAGAATTGAGGCGAAGACTGAACTTCCAGATGAACCCATCATAAAGAGTGAGAGTGCCTCCCCGGAAGTTAAGGCAAAGGTTGAACCTATGTCTGCGGATTCCGGGGAAAAGGACAGCCCATTAAAGGATGTTAAAAGGGAAACAAAAGATATCGAGAACAAATCAACTGATAAGAAGGTCACAACTATTGGTCTTAACTCCACTTCCGCTAGTAAGGAGGATATGGAAAACTACGATCCCTCTGCCGATTCGTATCATCCTCTCAAAAATGCGTACTGGAAGGACAAAAAAGTGTAAGTAAAGCAGGTCTAGCCACCTCCACTAATCTATCGTCTAATTGACGCTATGTTATTATTTGCAGCACTCCCTATTTGGCATTGGCTCGCACCTTTCAAGTAATCGAGGAGACCAAGGGCCGCCTCAAAATGATCGACACGCTGAGCAATTTCTTCAGCTCGGTGATGTTGGTAAGCCCGGAGGATCTGGTGCCCAGTGTATACCTTAGCATCAACCAATTGGCCCCCGCCTACGAGGGATTGGAGTTGGGTGTGGCCGAAACCACTTTGATGAAGGCCATCTGCAAGGCCACTGGTCGAAACTTGGCTCATATTAAATCGCAGACGCACTTGATCGGAGATCTGGGCATTGTGGCCGAGCAGTCGCGCGTCTCCCAGCGCATGATGTTCCAGCCTGCCCCTCTGAATGTCAGGGACGTGTTCAGGAAGCTTCGGGAAATAGCCAAGATATCCGGCCAGTCCAAGATGGATCTGGTGTACAATATGTTTGTGGCCTGTCGATCGTCGGAGGCTCGCTTTTTCATCCGCTCTTTGATTGGCAAGTTGCGAATTGGCATTGCCGAGCAGAGTCTGCTCACAGCTCTGGCCATTGGCCTGGTCAAAAAGAATCACATTGACGACTGCAAGGCCAGCAAGGTTCCAGACGTTTATAAAGATGAAATAGTAGAGACCACTTTGCTGCTGAAGACTGCATACAGGTGGGAGGTAACTTTGCGTATTATAAAGCACATATTAACCAAGTTCTTTTAGCCAATGTCCAAACTACGACATTATCATTCCAGCCATTCTAAAGTATGATATTAAGGAGCTGCAGGAACGCTGCCCCATGCATCCCGGCATGCCGCTGAGGCCCATGCTCGCCCAGCCCACCAAGGGCGTCCACGAGGTGTTTGAAAGATTCGGCGGCATGCAAATCACCTGCGAGTGGAAGTACGATGGAGAGCGTGCCCAGATCCACCGCAACGAAAAGGGGGAGATCAGTATATTCTCGCGCAACTCGGAGAACAACACGGCCAAATATCCGGATTTGATTGCCAGGAGCAGTGGCCTACTCAAGGGCGAAGTGAAATCCTATATCTTAGACAGCGAAATTGTGGCCTGGGATGTCGAGCGAAAGCAGATTCTTCCATTCCAGGTGCTTAGCACGCGTAAACGAAAAAACGTTGACATCGAAGAAATCAAGGTCCAAGTCTGCGTCTACATATTCGATCTCCTTTACATCAATGGCACTGCATTGGTGACCAAGAACTTGTCGGAACGTCGCAAACTCCTGCTGGAGCACTTCCAGGAAGTCGAGGGCGAGTGGAAGTTTGCCACTGCTCTGGACACCAATGACATAGACGAAGTGCAGCAGTTCCTGGAGGAATCTATTAAAGGTTTGCCCTATTTACCCACTTGAAAACTGTTTACTCAAGGTTACATACTCCAGGAAATTGCGAGGGTCTAATGGTAAAGACTCTGGACGAGGAGGCCACGTATGAGATTGCCAAGAGATCCCGGAACTGGCTGAAACTGAAGAAGGATTACATATCCAATGTAGGCGACTCACTGGATCTGGTGGTGATAGGCGGCTACAAAGGTAAGGGCCGAAGAACTGGAACGTATGGAGGATTCTTGCTCGCCTGCTATGATACCGAAAACGAGGAGTACCAGAGTATATGCAAAATTGGAACAGGTACGATTGCATTTTCAATTGAAGTGCAGGCACTAAACTTCTTCTACATTCCAGGCTTCACCGATGAGGATCTGCAGACGCACTCCGAGTTCTTGGGCAAACACGTGACCAGCTCCGCCAAGTCCTACTACAGATACGATCCCAGTCTGGAGCCGGATCACTGGTTTGAGCCGGTTCAGGTGTGGGAGGTCAAATGCGCCGATCTGTCTCTCAGCCCGATCCATCGGGCAGCCATAGGCATCGTGGACGGCGAGCGTGGCATTTCCTTGAGATTCCCCCGGTTCATTCGTATTCGCGACGACAAGAACAGCGAGAACGCAACGGACGCCAATCAGGTGGCCCACATGTACCAGTCGCAGGACCAGGTTAAGAATAATCAAAAATCGTGTACACAGATGGAAATGGAGGACGACTTCTATTGACCGTCCTGCTGGAACCATGTGTACAACATTTATTTAACAATAAAATTCGTTATCGCTATTTGACACTGTTGCTGCTCTCCGAGGACTTCGAAACACGCCGATCCTCGAGTTGACTCTCCTTAACCTCCTTGGGCTTTGATTTGTTGCGACGGTTCGATCGTTTGTTTTTCTTAACCGTCTTCTCTTCGACAATGGAAGCCTCTCCATCCGAACCATCTCTGCCTCCGGTACCTTGGGGCATATCATCTGATCCTATGCGGACGCGTGCTTTAGGTTGGTAAATGGCAATCGAGGGGCGATCCTTCATTGGAAAAAGGGACTTGTAAGGCACATTTAACTGGATTCTGTGAAACTTACCTTGTTGCGGATGCGCCGCTCCTCCGAAGCTCGGAATTGAGCAGCCTTGATGGCCTCCTCGGCAGCTGTGTCCCGGAAGGTAGCTGCCTCCTGTGGTCCCCGGCTAGCTTCCTTATTCCTATGACCGCCGGCGGCCTGTATGAATGTCTTTACAGCTTCTGGGATTTCGTTTTTTTCAGTCCTAGCTTTTTCCCTGAGCTCTGCCGCTGCTCTTGAAGTACTTGGCATTTCATCAAAATCGTTTACCTCAGGTTTGTTTTCCTTTTTAAGAATAACGATGTCCTTGTCTGGCCTTGCAGGGTCCATCGGTTTTGAGTTTTTGTTCTGCCTGCCGCCGGACGGTTTGCCGCCCTTCTCTTGTTTAATCGGAACTTCTTCCTTTTTCTTATCCCGCTTGGCCAGCTTTCGCAGTTCGTGCTCCTCCCGTCGCCGCTGATCGCGCTCTGTTCGTCGCTTAGAGCGCGAGGTCTTCGCAGCGTCGTTGCCTTGGGCTGCGGCAGGCGGAGGATCCTTACCATCATTTTTGGCATTGTTGCCGGCAGGTTTCTTGCAGTCGCCTCCACCGCCTCCGGCCTCCTTGGTCTTGCTGGCGTCTGACTGCTCCGCCAGGCGGACCAGCTTCTGCTCCTCGCGCTGCTTGCGCTTCTCCTCGTTCCGCTTGCGTGCCTCCTCTCGGCGTTTCTCCTTCTTGTTGGCCAGGTACTGCAGCAGGGGTGTGGACTTGACCTTCTCGTCCGCTCGTCGGTCAAAGCTGAAGTCGATCTTGACCTCCCCCATGCGACTCGCCTCCTCACGCTCATCGGCCAGCCGCTGGATGAACTCCTGGTAGTGGGACTCGCTTTCGATGGTGTTCACCTTGCTGTCGTCGTTCCGGGACTTGTTCTTGAGGAAGCACTGGAAGGGCGCGTACTCCACGATGGCCATGTACTCGACGCCCTTGTTGTCCACGAAGACGTAGCCGTCGAATCGGTCCCGGAACTGGAGCACATCGGAAATGTCCTTCATGGACATGTCGATGTAGGCGCGACAGGTTGCCTCCTGGCCCAGGGACCAGTCCGCCTGGCAGTAGTAGTAGGAGTCGTTCTCCGGCAAGGGACCCACCTGGTCCAGGAAGTCCGTTTCTGTCATCGTGGGCGGCAAATGCCGCATCACAATCTGGATTCGGTGCGGAAATTCAGTGGTGACTTGGAATAATCGGAGGATCTAGGCATTACCTTTACGACCTGGCTGGTCTTGTCCTTCTTGTCCTTGCGCCGGTTGGCCCTGGGCCTATCCTTTGGCTTTTCCTCGGCCATTGCTTCAGCCATTTTCGAATTCTTTTATTTCTATCAGATCAGAATCAAAACAAACCCAAAATTCGAACAAATGCAAACATGTTGTGGAGCCGATAGAGATGGCACTTTCGGTTCGGAACTAGTAGGGCAAAAAAGTTGTTTAATGGAACCATTTCGCTATTTTAAAAGTTAAAAATGGTAAATTTATTAAGGAATCCAATTGTATTTAGTTTCAGCAAACTTGGTTTTTGCCTTTACAACTAGTTTAAGAAATACATCTTTTAAGAATTATGAACTAGTGAACTAGTTCACTGTGATCATTTTAGGCGAGCGCTTTTTAACCATTCCGCTATTTACTTTTGTACCTGCTAACTTTTAAGAAATTCGACGTAGAGGGTCCTCTTAATGACCCAATAAAATGAAATAAAAGGTCGTTCACTAAAGTCTTTAATAAGGATATCAACAAGTAACTATTAAAGATGATAACATCTATTAAATTGTATTTTAATAATTAAAAACAATTGTTTTTAGAAATTTACTCATTGAAAAATGATGTCGATAAGCCCACCATCGGGTTCCTTTCTAAAGTGCTATGTTTGCGTCTCCAATGAGGGCAGGATTTGGAAGGAAGTTATACAATGTTGTACCAAAAACGCAAATGAATTGGAAAAGAACCTTCAAAACCTCCAGAATGCTCTGGAGAAATCCCATGTGGGGGCCAAAGTTATTTGCAGGGGATGCAATATGCAGCGGTACTGCAGCGTATCCCATCTCATTCAAGATCGTCCGGAGCACCAACCCCTCTGCCAGGTGCTGAGGGATCTGCAGAAGGTCAGGAAGATCGATCACCCGCTGTTGCTGCACGGCAAGATATCCAATCGCACAAAGCTGCAGTTCGTCATTTCCCAGCTAAAGCTGATCCTGTGGGTCAAGCTGGGCAGACCCCTCACTCCGCGCGAGCATCAACTAATAGGGGATCCCGCCGTTTGCGATGTCTGCTTCAGCACCGAAGCCCTAGTAGACTGCGATGGATGTGCCGGGGTGGCCTTCTGCTCTGCGGAGCACCGCCAACTAGTCAGCGACTATCACTCTTTAAAGGATTGCCAAACTCTGGCTCTGATCGCCACTCCCTTCCGCCAGTTGGACGTTCTAGTCAATATCCAGCACTTCTTCCAAAGCTGCCCCATAAAGGAGAGCCATTTAATTGATGCTTTTCGCAATGCCACCAGCATACAGGTCAGCAATACACCATGGACCGATCTGGAATCGTACCAGCTGTTTGCCACCTGCTCCTCCTTCAGCGGCATCGCCAGCCTTTGCTTGGCCCTGACGCAGATTTCTTGGGTCAATGATCCGGATAAAGCTGTCATCGTGTACATAGTGGGCGCCACCCAGGAGACCTTGATATACTTCCAGGACATGCACCTGAACTTCTTGTTCCTGCAGTTCCCCAACATTCACCACTTGGAGTTGCACTTCATGGGAAAAACACTTGGGCAAATGGGAGAAATAGGATTAGCCTTCAACGAAAGGACCGTCCTGAAACACTTTTATCCTTTATCATTCTCACAATTTTCATGCGTTTGCAATGTGGATCCTACATTGATCCTTATACTACAACCGGATTTCATCGGCACCGGGAATATAACCCAGGATCTAGTCAATCTTGTACAAAAAAATGATCCACCGGACTTTGACTGGCAGGATTGTCTTCTCAGTATTATTCGAACTTTTGGTATTCCCATTTGCTATACGTCGATCTCACGTCTCAAGGCAATGTCCGATTTCACTGCCATCAATGAGATTGCCAGGGAAAATAATATAGACGTCAAGAGAGCCTACAACATAACGGACAATCCCTATCGTGAAATATTACCACTGCACAATCCTGATCCATTGGATCTGGAAAGGATTGTTTATGCTAATAACTACCTAGAGGTTGTTTTTACAAGTATCAAACACTAAAAAAAGCTACCAAAGACTATATATAGTAAGATAGGTTCAAAGTATTTAAAACAACCTAAGACTATATCGACTATCGATATTAAGAAAGTTCTCGTCTTATAATTAAAGCTACCTCGTTACATTGACAAGTATCAAAATAACCTAATTTCAAACTACACTAGACTATAAGAATTTCGACTACTGATATTAAGAAAGTACTCTTCGCATAATTTAAACTACATCGTTACATTGACAAGTATCAAAATTAAACAATTTCAAGCCACACAAGACTATACGAATATCGAATACCTATATTATGAAAGTTCTCGTCATATACTAGTACTACTAGTAGTTCAAACTATACGTTACTTAAAAAGTAAAAGGATTTAATTTCAAACTAAACAAGACTACAAAAATGTCGACTCACGATACTAAGAAAGTTTTTGTCGTATTATTTAAACAACCTCATTACTTTAACCAGAGTTAATGAATTAATTTCAAACTACACAAGACTATGAATATCGAAAGCAAGTTGACAGTATTATTATTTCGATCGAACGCGGCTTAGAACTTTCGCCCTTTAATTTAACCATTTTTATCCATTTACATTTTTGGTAATTGTTTAAGAATAAATTGTTTACCTAATTTATAGCCTACATTTGTAATAAGTATAAATGCTCAGTTTATCAATGCAGCCACTTAAGTCTAGGAGGAAAACGGTTACAATCATTTAAGAAGTGGTTTCAAGATTTGGAAGCTTTGTTCTAGAATGTCTTCTTGGAAATTACGACGATTAGGTCGATTAACCAATAGAATGACTGGTGAAGATCGCCCTCGCACAAGTACGGCGCCTTGGTCCACGACTCCACGCGGAAGCCGCAGTTTTCCAGCAGCTCCATGAACCGGCCAGCCTCCTCCTCGAACGACGCTTGTCGCCCGTTGTTCTCCAGCAGCGGACGCAGGGGTAAATGCGAGGTGTTCGTCTCCACGTAGTGCATATAGGGAAGTACTAAAGCCACGACGGCTCGGCCATTGGGAGCCAGAGCCAAGTGAATGTCCTCGAGCAACTTGAAGGAATCGAAGCACCGGTCCAGCACGTTTAGACACAGAATTAACTCCAGGTTTTGCAGGCCTCCAATCTCGGTGATTACGTTGAAGTTAAGCTTCTTCAGCCTGTCGCGCATGGTCCAACTGGCTTCGGTAGCGAAAACCCGGAGCCCAGCACTGCCACTCAGCTCGGAAACCGTGTTCGCCACTCGCAGTGAAATCTCGCCGTCGCCGGCTCCAATGTCCAGTAACGTAACCTAAGATGGGACGGGTTAGTAATGACACGCTTTAAGGGATTCATTTCCTACAGGTTCGTCTCCACTGGCAGGTTGAAAGCCCCCTGCCACCAGTAACTTGCGGAACTGCTCCTCGGACAGGATGAACATGGAGCCGCGCTTCAGGAATCCGTTGATGTCCGTCTGGGTCATGAAGAACTGGAGAATAGACCTGGCCAGGGCGTGCCACAAGTGGGTCCAGATGTTCGCCGACAGGGCTTTGGTGCGCTCCAGCCAGCTCACCGTGGTGGCGTCCGGCTCCAGGGGCACGAACTTGGTCTGGAATCTCGGTGGCAGTTCATGGTTCAAGCAGTACCACTAAAATGGAACCATATGCATGTGAATCTGCAGCACATCTCGCCTAGAGAATTACCTTTCGGGTGTCTATGTCCTCCAGGGAGTTGTCGTTGTGGAATTTGGCATGGATCACTCTGGCCAAAGTGCCGCGGGGACGATAAGTAGCCATTTTTATCCAAAATCCTAATATAATTATCTTTTATTTACATTTTCTAAGTTTGTGTATTTAGCTTAATTGTGCCATGGGTTTTCGTGTTTGAAGAACTGGTGTTTGGTATTTTTCGCAGTATTTCCCAGGGCTGGAAAGCGTTGTCTAACAGCTGAACATGAAAAGTTGATGAGTCGGGCAGGAAAAGTGGGTATTTCCAGCGCGGCGTTGCCAGATCAGCAATATTCAGACTTAAAAATTGCGGGAAAATTCGACCTGCTTATCCTTTTTGTAATTTATCGATGTGCTTTACATTTGAATTTAAATAATGAGATAGTTTAAGTAACAGCTGCAAATCATTCGAATAAAATATTTTACTTTTTGCTTAAATATGTTCAACTGCGCAATATAATATTACCAAGTCAATCAAATAACTTTTGTCGACTAATTTTCCATCAGTTTCTTGAACTTCTTAAACCCCGATAATAAAGGTTAGGGTTATTGCTAACACGTGACTCAAAGTTGAATGTTTTCCAGTTCAATGGAACACCTTGAATACAAACAGTAAATACTAATTGCTCCTAAACTCATGCCAATTGTATGTAATCATTAGCCATCAAGATTAGGGAATGATAGGAAGAAAGCCTTATCGCCGTTAACCACTAACCAGTTAAATCAACCGGGAGCGTACTTCCCACACGACCTATCAGTCTTGGCGAATAATACGAACTTGTGGCAAAAATAAATAGCCATAAATTAGCTAGCCAAATCTAGGAAACCTTATCAAGTTCCTGGGGGGCATATAAAAGGCTGGGGCGGCCAAGACAGTGGTCAAAGCACCTGCACCTGTGGAATAAAAATGTTGTTGGTTAAATTAATTGCGGCTTTATTAAGTCTGGGCCTGGTTGTTGCCCTGCCCGCTGATGCGGGGCGAGCCAGTTCGGTGACCACTGTAAGTTTTTGGGATCCTTCGAAACCGGGAATGTCTGTACTAAAATATTTTAACATTTTTCAAGGTTACCATCGCGAAAGGACACGGCTATGAGCTCGAGGAGCACGAGGTTCAAACCTCGGATGGATACATCCTGACCATGCATCGTATTCCGTACTCCAAAAACACCGGTTACGATGGCCCACGTCCTGTCGTCTTCCTCATGCACGGACTGCTATGCTCCTCATCGGATTGGGTCCTCGGTGGTCCACACAGTGGACTGGCTTACCTGTTGTCGGAAGAGGGATACGATGTGTGGATGGGTAATGCCAGGGGAAATACCTACTCCAAGAAGCACGCCACCAAATCCCCACTGCTGCAACCCTTCTGGAACTTCGAGTGGCACGACATTGGAATCTACGATCTGCCCGCCATGATCGATAACGTCCTTTACCGCACTGGAGTAGATCAATTGACGTATGTCGGTCACTCTCAAGGTACCACCTCCTTCTTTGTTATGAACTCGATGATCCCGCGCTTCGCGAGCCGCATAAGGTCGGCCCATTTGCTGGCCCCTGTGGCCTGGATGGAGCACATGGAGAGTCCTTTGGCCACGGTTGGAGGTCCTCTGCTGGGCCAGCCCAACGCCTTCGTGGAGCTCTTCGGCAGCGCCGAGTTCTTACCCAATACGCAGCTAATGAACCTGTTCGGAGCCCTTATCTGCAAAGACGAGGCCATTTTCCAGTTCATGTGCACCAACACCCTGTTCCTTCTGGGCGGCTGGAACTCGCCGCACATTAACGAAACCATGATGCCGGAAATTATGGCCACAACTCCGGCGGGCTGTTCGGTCAATCAGATCTTCCACTACCTGCAGGAGTACAATTCCGGCTACTTCCGGCAGTTCGACTACGGATCGACGCGCAACAAGAAGGAGTACAGCAGCAAAACCCCACCGGAGTACGATGTGGCAGGCATCGATGTACCCACTTACTTGTATTACAGTGACAACGACTACTTTGCCAGCCTGATCGACGTGGATCGCCTACGGTACGTCATGAACCCTAGTGCGCTGCGAAGTGCATACCGCCTGCCGGAGGAAAAGTGGAACCACATCGACTTTCTGTGGGGACTCAATGTGAAGGAAATTCTTTATGACCGGGTCATCGATGACATAAATAATGCATAATGTGCGCTGCAAATAAAGCGACATACCAATGTGATAGGAAAAGTACCACTGGTCACTACTTAATCGGGGGCTCAGGTAGCTTATGAGCCGATAATTTACAAGTGGCCATAATTTCAAATTGAACTGGTGACACTTCACCGTGACTAAGATACGCAAAAAGACTTTTAGCCAATTCACCATTTTGCTTTATACTTGAATTGGCATGGTTATTTATAAGTTTATTTTTAAAACAAATATAGTAAAAAATTATCAAAGATTAGTGTTTTATTATTTGGTATAGTTTATTATCACCATTAAGACCTACAAATGAAGGTGAAATATTTGTTATAGTTGGGAGCACATAATATACATGTTTAAAATTCGCGCCATTATTCAGGGCTGCCGTTACCTGTAAAAACATCGATAGGTTTGTCATGTTTTTATAGTCATCAATATTATCGTGTTGTTATCGGGTATAGAGGTGGAAAAAACATCTACATAAGTTATATTAATACCGATGTTTCTCGAGCAATAGAATCTATTTTAAAGTGAATGTCTATATAAATAAATTATTTAATTATTGCGCGATTATAAATATTTATTTTTTGAATTATGCAAGGATGAAATAAATGTTGTACAAAATTTCTGCAAACCATAGCCAAACGATTTTTTCGGTCAGTCCCATTCCGATACTATCGATAGTGTCGTCGCTGTTTCTTCACAAGCAGGTACATCCACGCAAAAAAAGCTAACTCGGGCAAAGAAAAATTCTTTCAGCGCTAAATTGTTTTAAAATACCGCCTTAGCTGGCCCAGTGGTCGGTTATTAGTTAGCTGCAAGATGACGCGCGTAACGAGAAGTGAAATCTCCCTGGACATGGAGTTCTGGGTGGAGGAGCTGTCGCCGGCTCAGTTGGCGTACTATGAGAAGATCACTAACGAGCACAACGCTGTAAAGGGTGCGCTCAAGAACGCGGTGAGCGCCAACGAGGGCAAGGAGCTCTTCAGCGGCCAGGTGTTCCAGGCGTACTCCTTCAAGGGCAAGGTGCTGCAGGAGCTCAAGGAGGCCACGCTGCCCAAGAAGCCGCCCAAGGCAGCGGATCCCCCGCCAACCCCCACTGCTCCTACCAGTGGCACGGGGCGTGGGCGTGGCCGACCGCCCAGGCAGCCCTCTAACATCGCCTACCTGGAGTCTTCCGACGAAGGCGATGACGATGTGCCGCTGGCCAAGCGACTCGCCCTGTCTGTGGGCAAAAAAGCGGTGGCCGTGGCCAACGCATCCTCCACTTCCTCTCCAAAACTCGGCAAGAAGGGAGCTGCCGCGGCTGCAGCATCCTCTTCCTCTGGCAAGTCTTCACCCGTGCCCAAGAGCAGCGGGAAATCGCCCAAGGAACCCAAATCGGACATGGAGTCGCCGCCGAAGAACTACCGACCCGCCGAGGTTAACTCGGTGGGTGGTCTGGTGGTGGGCAGCACGGACGAAAGCAAAGACAGCAAGGATGGCAAGGAGGGCAAAGACAATAAGATGCAGGGCAAAACATATCCATCGTTGGTAGTCCTAGCCAAACCTTTCCTGAAGATCAAGGACATGGCTGCCACCCGCAGCAAGCTGGACTCAAAGGTCAAGTTGGTACTCATGCTGACGCCCAATAAGTTCTGCGAGTGGCTGCTCCAGGAGGGACTCCTCCGCGCCCAGCAGCACTGTATTAACCACCGCAACAACGAACTGAAGCTGGGTGAGTCGTACAAGACTTTTGAGTGTCTTAAAACTCTTGTCTAATGAAATACTATCTTTCTTTAGGCATATATTCGGATGTCACCAAGTTCCCCTATACGGGTGGCTATGTGTGGATTAGCGATTGTTGCCCCTATCGCTTCGTGTCCGTATTCAACAATTCCATTTTTGAAGGAGCCCAGCACCCGCCCACGTTCCTCCTAAAGCTGATTTACCATTGGGCCTGCCAGACCAGCATACAGAATGTGGTGCAGTGGGTTAAGGTGGACAGTGTTTACATCAAGGGTATCTACACCTGGCTAAGAGCCATTTGCACCTTGGCCGTGCATCAGAAGTGCAAGAAGTTGGGCGGACCCGGAAAGTTTGTGGAGGTAAATATTAGATACCAATTCAGATGAGCCCTTACTCACAGTTTTTTAATTCATAATTCAAGGTGGGAGTAATTTCCCTAGGAACCACCTCCCAAGACGGCTCCCAGCGTCAGGTTAAGGTAGAGGTTCTTGGCGTCTATGACTACGCGGAGAAATCCATTCGGCTGCGGGCAGTGGAGCCCATCACCGATGGCGATCGCAACTACAAGAAGCGCTTCCAGGCCATTCTGGAGCCACTGTCGCGCTGGGTGCACAAGGACAGCACCATTTGCATTGACTTGACTGTCGACAAGATCACCCTATTCAGCATGGGATTCAAAAATATCGTACAAGCCGCTGCCACCGACAATACGGCCAAGCACAACAACTCTGCGGTAATGGAATACTTGCGCCGGATTGTGCCGCGTATGTTCCAGAACACCCTGTCGCTACTCTCGCGCCAGATGATTCAGCAGTTCCTTGACGAGCTGGTCTGGCGCGAGTCCTTTGGCACATATGCCCTGCAGGCATTTAACAACATTATTATACATATCGCCGAGCAGACGAGGGTAACCACCAATGAGACAATCACCCAGCGCCTGTATCAGGTAAGCAGAAAGAGAAAAAGTAATGCTAATCAGCACTTAATGCCTCTATCGTTTAGGTGGCCACCAATCCGTTCAAGGACTGGAGTGTTCTGCCCGCTAACTACAAAGAGACCCCGGCCAATGCGGCCCCCAAGCGCCTCAAGAAACGTTAGTACTATCGTACTTTTCTAGCCAGTTATTATTTAGGCCGTGAATAGAATAATTCGAAATGATAATCCGTTAAGAAAGTGCCTGCGTTTCTCACTCCAAAGTGAAATGTTATCGATTTGTTAAAGTATCATTCTTTAATTGAAGCCAAATGGTGAGCTCAGGCTATCCTCTGATTGTGTTATGTGAATTGTGAATTTATAAAATCATTGGATGTTAAGTGCTCACATGGTACACATAAAATTTAAGTTTTTATTTCTGGCATCTTTCGTGTTAACTTATTTTAAAGAGAACTCTAAAGAGAAAAACCAATAAACTTGCACCACATTTAAGAACTGTTTTTATTTGATTTACTTTTTCATTTGGAGTGATAAAACGCAAAATAGCAAGTTTAAGTTTAAGTGTTTGGCCCTATATGTGGCATACTTTAAGATACCACGTCAAGAATGGAAGAATGCACGTTATTTAAGTTATTAAGAGTTTGTATGCTGCGGTGATAACTTGATATTTTTTGTAAGACGGCATTTATTCATTATTTGTTTTCAGCAATCAACGACGCCGACTATGTTGTCTCTAACAAGGTTACAAAGAAGGAAAAGGACCGAGAAAAGGATACCATGCCCACTGGAGCTAAGCGTGGACGCCCACCAAACCCAATGAACACTCCACCACCTCAAGTTCCATTTAAGAAGGGTCCAGGTCGGCCACCAGGCAGTACCAACCAGCCGAAAGGAGACAAAGCGTCGACCTCAAAGGCGGCCGGACCTGCATCGGCATCAAAATCACTGTCTAAATCACTGGGAACCAAAGCTTTTGCTCTTAAAACACCCGGAAAAAAACCGAAAGAAAAGGATGATAAGGTTTCCATGGTCATTAAGAAGGAGGACGAGGACCTTAGGGGTTTGGAGGAGCTTTACTACGGCATTAGCGATGGCACGGACGAATACTACGAGATGTTCCCATACAGCACGCCCCGAACCGCCCACAACAACCTAGCAAAGACCGTGGAGTGTCCAATATGCCTAAACGGTGACTCCTTCGATTCCAACGAGAAACTGCAGACACACTTGGTTTCGCACATCTCTCCCGAGGGCAAGCAGCACCAGTTCCAGTGCCTCTTCTGCCTCGAGAAGCACCCCACTGAGTCGGTTCTGGCCAAGCACAATCAGATCATGCATCCAACCGAGACAAAGACGGAGGGTTCGCCCTCGTACTACTGCCTAATCTGCCAGCAGCGTCACAATTCCCTGCACCTTCTGACGGCCCATTTGCAGAAGGTGCACAGCACGCTGGAGCTGCCATATTGGTGTCACTCCTGCGGCTATCGTTCATCGTCACACCGAGATTTGGTCCGGCACTACTATGACGACCACAAACACCAGAACTTCCTGCAGTGTCCCTACTGCTTGGATGTGAGTATCCTTGAATAGTTGGCAATGTAAGACGGTTTTACTCAAATAAATCGTTTTTTTTCAGATTTTCTACTTCTCAAAGCGCGGCGTTGTTAATCAGCTACGCATTGAGCATTACTTCCTGCATTTGGACGAGCACATCAACAAGCGGGATCCCTCGCTGCGCTGTCAGAAGTGCTCACTTACCTTTCTCGAGAAGGGTGATCTTAAGCAGCATGCCGTTCAACACCATGTCAGCATGATCAAGACCAACAAGCCGGTGCGTCTCTTACTCAACAATTCGCTGTTGATTCCACCGCCCAAGGTACGCACTCACCACCGTGAGCAGCCGCCGTTTTCCACCTACAAGCGCCCAGTATTCTTTGCCTTCTTAGAGGGCAAGACTTGTGCCGAATGCAACACCGATTACGCCAGCGAGGAGACACATTACACGTAAGTCTAAGAATTTTACTCAGTATTTAATTTAAGCAGAAAGACGCCAAGGGTAAAGGTGTCAGATCTTCCAGGCCAGTGACAGCTTTATAAGCCAGCAAGTAATTGCCTTATTGTGATTTAATAGAGCCTGATTGGTCTTATCGGGGATATTCATTAGAATGATGTAAGGTAATAAGTTTTAGGACAGGGTTTTGGTGTTGTAAGCCTTGTATGTAACCTTTTAATAAAAATATACTCCTCTATTATATTTCCAGCGGTTGGCTGCACTGCGTTAAGTGCAATTATCAGACCTGCTGCGAACGAGCTCAATTCCGTCATGGCGTGGATTGTAATGGAAACTTTGTGGATGCCATGGAGGTGAATATGCCGCAGGAGATGCA